TTCAGAAGTAAAATTAGCGAGAAATTAGCCGCCAAAGTTTGGCGACTTCAGAAGCTTGAGAGTCCTTAGAAACGGTAAATTTACATTTTTGTGCCTTAAATCAACATTTTTCAGTAAAATCCACACAGAAATGTGTTCTTAAACGGACCTTAAAGATGTTGAGTTAAAAAACAAATATCCAATAAAAATTGCCAAACAAACAGGAAAATGCCAGTTTCTTCGTCTTCATTATTTTGATGAGCGCCTGATTTCACCACGTTGCGTCCCATATCATGGAAGCATGGAGGGGTCAGGGCAAAGCGACTCTAGTACGCGATGGTTCAGGGGATAAGAAAGTCATGGTATTCCCACAGGGTTTCGTTACCCGTCCCGTCTCATTGCAGTCATGAGGAAAGTCGTATTAATTCTACCGCGACTTAGCCTTTTTTAAAATACTTTTTATGATGGACTTAGTTTGTTCTTAACTTGATGTGGCGTCGGTAGTCTAGTGGTTAGGCTAAAGAACCTGCTTCTCTCAGAGCTAATGTATTTATAACTAAAGAATCGTTTTTCTCTGGGGATATGCCTTTGACCCCCCCCCCAAAAAAAACACCCCGGGCAATCTTAGCTCCTGTCAACGATATAACATTAATTTTAAGCTGTATATTAGAAGGTTTTAAACAAGACAGATACTACGCCATGTTACTTACTGTTACCAGGAAAAACTGTATTAATTCGCAATGTTTTACACCCCTATCGATAAAATTTACAACACTTATGAGCCAGGATGCTTCCATTTTGCTAGGAATGAGAGGGAAACAACGTCCCAGAGGAAAGACGGGGATACTTGTTTAGAAAAAAAAACCCTACACGGGAATGGAACCCGTGTCTTCTGCATTCGATAGCGAAGCTTCTGACGGCTACATCACAGGCGCCGGTCTGTCAGTTTCTTCTGTGAGAAACTTAAACATTTGTGAGGCATGCTGACAAAATGAGTTACTTCTCGCAATCCACAAATGGAGGTATTGGCCAAAAAATCGACATTAGGGTAAAACTTGTAGATTTTCAATCAATTGATGCCATGTTTTTCAACTATAAACCTCTTTTATTATTTCATACATATAAATTGTAAAAACTTTATCTATAAGCATGATATATCTATTTCCTTAAGGTTTGAACCTGAGAAATTCCTCATTTTGTCAGCACACTTCCCATTTTTTCAATAAGGAAAAGGCAATACAAGATTTTGTCAGGGATGACACGTGCATTCTAAGTTGCGGGTAAGAATAATCTTTTTGTGAATTAACTTGCAGCTGTTCCAGGTAATAAATTAAATATAGAAAAAGCCAATAATGCATGATATGTAAAATTATAACAGCTGTTTAATATCACTTAAAAAAACCAAACAAACAAACAACGCAAAACAATAAAAACAAAATAAACAAACACACAGAAACAAACAAGCAAACAACCCCCCCTAACTATACACTATTTTTGTGGATCGGGATAATTTAAAGGTGGGTGGTTAGAATGCGTCACTGGAAGGTCCTACTCCTTTTCTGCCGTCTGTTGCTTCTGTCTTTCTGTCTAGTCTTTTCCTGCCCTAATAAAATACAGTTATCACGTCGCTGAGCGTTAATTTACTCATACAAACAAACAAGGATTTTTTTCTGTCAGAGTGCTTTAGTCGGAATGACGCACGCATAATCTCAGTCGTTGTTTTTGTTATCGTTTTGCTTGAGTGTGACGAACATAATATTTTGTCAACAAGGAAAATGCAATACAAGATCTAATCAGAGATGAAACATGCACTCTAAGTTGCGGGTAAGAATAATATGTTTGTGAATTGACTTGCAGTTGTTCCGGGTAATAAATTAAATATAGAAAAAGCCAATAATGCACGATATGTAACATTATAGCTACTCTTTTTAATATCATTTAAAGAACAAACAAACAAACAAAGAAATAAAAACAATAACAACAAAAGAAACAAACACACAGAAACAAACAAGCAAATAAACAACCCCCCCCCCTAACTATACACTATTTTGTGGATTGGGATCATTTTAAGGTGGGTGGTTGGAATGCGTCACTGGAAGGTCCTACTCCTTTTCTACCGTCTGTTGCTTCTGTTTTTCTGTCTAGTCTTTTCCCTCCTCTAATAGAGGACAGTTATCACGTCGCTGTTCGTCAGTTTACTCATACAAAAAAGGATTTTTGTTAGAGTGCTTCAGTCGGAATGACGCATAATCTCTTTTTTTTTTTGGGGGGGGGGAAGTGTTTTACAGCGCTTGCAACTGCATATGGTCATATGAGCGCACGGCATTATCTCAGTCGTTGTTTTTGTTATCTTTTGGTTGAGTGTGACGAACATAACGTTTGTGAAGCGTGCTGACAAAATGAGTTACTTCTCAGATTCAAGCCTTAAGGAAATAGATAGATCACGCTAAAAGGTGAAGTTTCTACAGTTTATAAGTAAGAAATAATAAAAGACAGGTCATAGTTAAAGAACATGGCATCAATTGAAAATCTACAAGTTTTACCCTAATGTTTATTTTTGTCCAATATCTCCATTTAATTTGTGGATTGCGAGAAGTAACTCATTTTGTTAGCATGCCTCACTTTTGGTCGCTTTAAAGCACAAGGGGACTATCCCGAAAAATGCTAATTTGAGAAAATCGAAGGTAATGTTTTTGCCCTTTGTTCAGTTTCTTTAAAAGACAAGAAGCATTTCCTGTTTAACCAAACAAATATGCACACCACTGAAACTAAACGTCTCCTATAGGTAGGGCAATGCCCACTTTTGGTGTACGTTAAGATTTCTGGAAACCCAAAAAATCTGGGTTAGCCCGCTTGTCCTTAAAAGTGACAATTTTTAGCTCTTCTCTGCCTGTGCAGGGTCCTTGGAATAGAACACCGGGTTGGCCAGGCCCCCGTAGCGACCACAGGTTGTGGTGGTGGTCGGGGTGATGACGTACTTCCCCTCTCTCCCGGGCGCGCACATCGCCAGCAGACCCGCCAGAAACACGAAACCACTGCCGCACGCACTTAAATAGAACGACCAGCCTTTGGTCAGACTGAGCTCAAAGTCCTCCCCTAAGCCTTGTTCGAAAGGGTTGAATTTCCCATCACTGCAGATGGCGAAAGTCGTGACGCCCGCCATGCCGATAATCCCCGCGAGTGTGCTGATAATGGCGGGAAACATGATGGATGTAGCGTTGTGTCGTCTGAAGCAAAGGGCCAACCCGACCATCGTGCTAGTGAGCATGAAGAGGATGGATCCACACATAGTCACGCGGACGGCTTTAAAGAAGGTGTCATCTCCGATTTCTTTGCTCAAATCCCATCCAAGGATTTTGCAGCCGTCGATTTGCAAAGAGTGGACCGTGGCGCATCCGTAGAACAAGCCCAGCTGTATGTCATCGTCAGGGCCCATAGGATCCTAAAAACGACACACACAAAAAAAAAATCACAAAAAAGAAGAAAAAGGTACCTATCAGCCGACAAGGATAGTACAAGACAAGATGGGCCACTCAGCCTAAAAAGTGTCCGCA